AACATCTCCAGAGGTTGCGGGCGGTTTTCCTAAAGATGCGGGCTGCTAATTTGAAGTTCAAGCCCCAAAAGTGTCATTTATTACGCGATTCCGTGCGTTATTTGGGCCACATCGTAGGGCGCTCGGGTATTGCTACCGATCCCGCCAAAACGCAGTGTGTCAGCTCCTGGCCGACTCCCACCACGGTGGGGGAGGTCAGGAGTTTCGTCGGCTTCGCGTCATATTACAGACGGTTCGTCGCCGACTTTGCAACAATTGCCAAACCCCTACATGCATTAACATCAAAGGGGGTTCGGTTCCACTGGGGCCAAGAGGAGGAGGCTGCTTTTTGCTCCCTTCGGGACGCCTTGGTTAAAGCTCCTCCCCTGATCTACCCTGATTTTTCAAAGCCGTTCTTGCTCGACACCGATGCGAGCAACACGGGTATTGGGGGCGTGCTTTCCCAGGTGGTTGACGGCGTCGAACGGGTGGTTGCGTACGGCAGTCGGGTGTTGTCTCAAGCAGAGCAAAGATATTGTGTTACCCGCAGAGAACTGTTGGCAATCGTTTATTTCGTCCAACAATATCGCCCATATCTGTACGGTCGGCGTTTCACCGTCCGCACAGATCATGCGGCACTGCAGTACGCCCTGCGAGTTCAACAACCATCGGGACAATTGTCCCGATGGTTGGAGATCCTCCAGGATTTTGACTTTGATACCACGTACCGTAAGGGCGTTCGCCACACCAACGCGGACGCTCTGTCGCGCATACCAACCACCCCGGAATGCGCGTGCCTCCTGGGGTCGGGACGTTGCAAACCAGCAGGGGACGTGTCGGTTCCGGGCCTTGCGGCCGCCGCCGACGGCGGGACAGTTGTTCTGAGTTCCATTGAACAACAAGGGAAAGATTCCCTGTTGGGGTTGCACATCCAGGAATGGGGGCGCCTCCAGATGGAGGATACCTCCCTCCTCGCGTTGCGTCGTCGCGCCGGGGAGGCAGGGCGGGGATCGGGTGATGCCGACGCATGGGAAATGCACGCGGGGTTGCTGTTGCACTGGGACGGGAAATCCCACCGACACCGGCTGGTGGTCCCTTCGGGCTTACGGGGTAGGGTGGTGTGGGCTGCTCATGAGCGCCTCCTCCACCTGGGTACCCAAAAGACCCTCGCCTTGCTCCAGCGTGATTTCTTTTGGCAAGGAATGACAAGGGATGTCCCTGATCTGTTGGCTTCATGCCCGAGGTGTGCACAGCGGAAACCACCAGCGCGAGAATCTAACCCGCCCTTGCAGTCTATCAGGGTCTCCAGAGTAAACGAACTTGTCGCGCTGGATATTCTGGGCCCATTCCCCGCCACCCCTAGGGGAAACAGATACTTGTTAACCGGGGTCGAGTATTTTACGCGCTGGCCTATGGCCTGGCCCCTGGCCAATCAGTCGGCAGCAGCCATCGTCGACGCCTTTGTCCAAGGCTATGTCATGGACAAAGGTGCCCCGGAACGGCTGCTGACCGACCAGGGTAGAAATTTTTCCGGAAAACTCCTCCAACAGGTTTGTGAGCTCCTAGGAACGAAAAAGGTTCGTACTTCCCCCTATCACCCGCAAACTGACGGGATGGTCGAGCGGTTGCATCGTACCATCTCGTCTATGCTATCACAGCAGGTTTCGGACTCACAGACGGATTGGGACTTGAAAATCCAAGGGGTCTTGGCAGCATACAGATTGGCCCCCCATGCTGCAACGGGATTTTCGCCATTCTTCCTCATGTATGGGCGCGACCCTGACCCACCCATTCGGGCGCAGCTGCAGATCCCCACACCACTAGGAAAAACTAAACTAATTGACCATGTCAAATTTAACCTTGAAAAATTGGCGGAGGCACGGGATGCTGCCATGTTAAATTCGGAACAGCGTCAAAAAGCTAACGAGCGCCTCAGACTGGGTCGCGCGCACGTGCTGCAGTGGAAGCCGGGGGACAGAGCATGGCTGCACTGCCCCCAGGTACCGCTCGCAACATCCCCTAAACTGGCGCGGCCGTGGAGGGGGCCCGTGGAAGTGGTCGAGGTTCTGCGGCCTCAGTGTGTCCGCATCAAATGGGGGAAGCGCCGGTGGTTTGTGCACCCCTCGAGGCTAAAACCATTCGTTGCGGTGCGAGGCCCCACTCCACACACGCATGGCCGAACATGTGGGGGGTCGGCCGACTCAGGGGATCCGTCCTCACTGCCCTCGCCTGACGCGTCGCCGGCTGTCCCGCCCACAGGTGCACCGGGACTGACGAGCTCGCACCCACCTGCTGCTGCAAGGGACGCCGAGGTTCCCGCGACGTCAGACGCGGACTCTATACAAAACGAACAACCGCCACCGGCGGGTTCGCCACCTGGGATTGCCCCGTGTGACGGGCCTGCAGCAAGGACACGCGCAAAAATGCGCAGACTCTTATAATGCATTGGACGAACATTTTTTTTTTCTTCTTCTCTCTTACGTACGGTTGCGTGGTGCTGCGTCGGTGGGGAGCTCCTAACACATTTTTTTGTTGTGTTGCATGTGTGCTGCGAGTTCCCTGCTTAACCTGTATATATGCGTCGCTCTTACGGTATTCGTATTTATTCAGGGGGGGTGCGTCGGATTGTTCCCTTCGGGGTTGTGGGTTTTGTTGTTGTCATTGTTGTTGTTGTTGTCGTTGTTGCTGTTGGTTCCTTCATGTTAGCGTTAAAAACGTTTTTTTAAGGCACACGCGGGTATCCAGGGGTTAAATAGCCTTTATTAAAGTTGTTGCAGCCGGGACGGCTGCGAGCTGTACAGGGGGGGGTGATGTAGGGCTGTTACAGAGGGGTTGTTTGTGTAGGGCTGTTTGCATAGGGGCTAACGGATAACAAACACAGTGGGCGGGGACTCCGTGAGCACACGGGGTGGTGCCCGCAACGACGTCCGTACTGGACGGCGTGAGGGGGGTTTCGATCCTCTAGGGGGGTATAAAAAGGGTTGAGCCAGAGAGCTCGGGGCTCAGTCTTAGTGTAGTTAAGGGAAGAGAGAAGACCGGCCAGATAGGCCCTGGACTCCCCCTGGGACGCCGCCCTTGTAAGGGCAGTGCAGGCTGGAGCCAGTGGCGTGGTCCCGGAACCAGAGTTAGACCTCTGGGATTCCGGGTACCGTAGCCCGACTGACCAGTGTCGGGCCAGACAGCCTCCCCTAGCCCGTTAGCGGAGGACTCGGCTAGGAAGGCTAGCTAGGGGTGAATTCCCAGTTGTACGGGTGAGGGGGCCGATACATCCCTCCAGTGCTGTAAGACATTGTGCAAATAAATACGTGTGCCTTACCACGTTGTCCACGCGTCTTCAAGAGTACTTCACAAATATGGCTGTCGTTTCATGAAGCTGGTTGTAATTACTGGCATAACGTCATGGTTCCCAGATTGTAAATTTTGTGGATTTGCTCTCCAACACAACCCATGTGCTTTACTAGTGCACTACACTAAATACTATACACTAGTGCTGTACTAGTGACTAATCACACGTTCTGTTTACGTGACAAACATTAATAATTGGCTGTGTCGGGTGGTGGCAGGTTTAACAACACATTTATAGATTTATGCAATCTCACCCAAACAAACCTCAAATATGCAAGGGCCACGGAGCTATGTCGCTCATTTTTAGACGCGACCTGGTCACAAATGATAGCTCAGTGGAGGGGCTTATCATCTTCATCACCATTACATGGACATTTATAGCAGCAGCCAAATCCTCTATACGCGTGGTGATGTTGATTCTTAATGTGGAGGGAAAAACGGGAGGTAGACCAGGAGAAAAAAATCCCCACGACTAGTAAGAGAGACACGCAGACTCCAAATATCAAATCTACCCCTCTATTGAAGGAAAGATACTGGAGTATTTCTCTACAAATATGGCTGTCGTTTCATGAAGCTGGTTGTAATTACTGGCATAACGTCATGGTTCCCAGATTGTAAATGTTGTGGATTTGCTCTCCAACACAACCCATGTGCTGTACTAGTGCACTACACTATACACTACACTATATACTAGTGCTGTACTAGTGACTAATCAGCACGTTCTGTTTACGTGACAAACTTTACTAATTGGCTGTGTCAGGTGGTGGTGGGTTTAACAACACATTTATATATTTACGCCGTCTAACCCGAAAAAACCTCGAATATGCAAGGGCCACTGAGCTATGTCGCTCATTTTCAGACTCGACCTGGTCACAAATGATAGCTCAGCGGAGGGGCTTATCATCCTCATCATTGCTACGTGTAAATTTATAGCAGTGTAATAAAGGACTCTCTCTCAGATGTCGATCTCCGTTGTCCTTTATTGGGTTCGTAGAATCTCCGTACCACGGCGTCTCGCTCAGGCCCGCGTCCCGCTCGACGATCTCTCCACAGCCCTCGGCTGCTCCGTTATGCAGTCTCCCCGCTTCTCCAATATGCAGTCTCACTGCTCCCCCGTCAGGCAATCCTTGCAGCCACACCGCTGCCCCGCTATCTAGCGTCACTGCTGCCCCTTCCACAGCTAGCCTCTCACTGCCCCGTTAGCTCTCTTCGTCTGACACCGATGGCCGTCGGTGTCGATGTCTCCCACCGCGTGGCAACCGCGCCACACTCTCCGTCTTGCCCAGCGTGGCCTCCTCCTGTTTCACTCCGTCTCAACTCCCCCTTCCCCTTCCGGTTCTCTCCCTAAATCCTCTCCCCCCACGTGACCCTAACTCCACCCACTCCCCACGTGACCCAGACTCCACCCCCCCTCAATCCTTGCTCGCATTACAGCAGTAGCCAAATACTCTAAGTGCTTGGTGATGTTGATTCTAAATGTGGAGGGAAAAATGGGAGGTAGACCAGGAGAAAAAGTATCCCAAAGACTACAGTGAGAGAGACACCCAGACTCCAAATATACAGCAGGCATCAGTGTTGAGATCGAACCCACGGCCTCCTGCATACCAAGCGAGGTAGTTAACATTGTGCAGGCATTGTACACGTGTTTTACACGCGAGTGGTTGAACGCCACTCACCGACATATTCATTATCATTCAGACGATGTCCGTTAGGGTCGGCCGCACCGCGTTGGTCTCCATCGGGACCACCGGGCTGCGTCGTGGTTTGTGATTCCCTTTGATCCGCATCGGACTCTGAGGCTGATGGCTTTCCATCGAGCAGACGTCCAGCGGAGCCGGAGTCGTCTTGACGTCGGCCAGAGGTGGGAGTGACTGATCAAGGTGGGTGGGAAAAATAAAATGCAACATGTCAAAGTCAAGGTGGGTGCGCTACTGCGGAGGAGGAGGAGGCTCGTTAAGGACACTGCTGCTGCTGCTGTGGCCGTGCCAGGCTGGGTGCACAGTTGAGGATGCTCACTTTTGGTTTGGGGGGGGCGAGTTGGGAGGACATTCGGATAAAACGCAGCGAGTTGGCACAGAAGGGGCACAGGCGGTGGTGGTGATGGTGCATCTGCCAGTAGCCATCTCAGTCAACCCATGTTACCTGCTAGGTCTGTCCCGTCACCTAATGACAGCAGCAGCAGCGAGAGCGTTTGACCCGCTCACGTTGTAGGATCAAAGTTCACCTAGCCTGGCACAAATGCCGCGTTGACGTCACCGCCGCTTCCTATTTGAAACTATTTTTGTATTAGCAGGTAAGGTCTACCGAGTTTAAAACGTATTAGGCTTTCGCGACCAATATCATCCACAATACAGCTTTTTTTGGGTTAGATCGCGTAAATATATGAATGTGTCGTTAAACCCGCCACCATCCGACACAGCCAATCAGTGAGGTTTGTCATGTAAACAGAACATGCCAATTCGTTACTAGTACTGCACTAACCGGTGTGTTGGAGAGTAAATCCAGAACATTAACAATCCGAGTACGAATTTTCACCAGTAATTACAATCATCTGAATTAGGCGACAGCCAGATTTGTGGAGAAATCCTCCTGTTTCGTTCCTTCCTCCCCCACCGCACGTCGCTCAAGAAGGGTTCACAAGTGACGCCATCAAATCTACCCCTCTATTTAAGGAACGAAATGGGAGGATTTCTTTACAAATCTGCTGTCGCCTGATGAAATGTTGTGGATTTGCTCTCCAACACAACTGGTGTGCTGTACTAGTGCACTACACTATACACTACACTATACACTAGTGCTGTACTAGTGACTAATCACACGTTCTGTTTACGTGACAACCTTTACTTATTGGCTGTGTCAGGTGGTGGCGGGTTTAACGACACATTTATATATTTAAGCGATCTAACCCAAACAGTCCTATATTATGCAAGGCCCACTCAGCTATGTTGCTCATTTTCAGACGCGACCTGGTCGCAAATGAGAGCTCAACGAAGTGGCTTATCATCATTACGTGGAAATGTATTGCAGTAGGTAAAACCTCTAAACGCGTGGTGATGTTCATTCAAAATGTGTAGGAAAAAAACGGAGGTGGACCCGGTGAAAAATCCACGCGACGACGAGGAGAGAGCCATTTAGCGTCCAAATATACAGCAGGCATCAGGGTCGGGATCGAACCCACGGTCTCCTGCATACAGGGCGAGGTAGTTAACATGTCGCAGGCGTTACACACGCGTGTTGTTACACGCGAGTGGTTGAACGCCACTCACCGCCATCTTGAGGATTATTCATAGGCTGTTCGCCGCGGTCGACCCCTCCGTGTTGTCCTCCATCGGGACCATCGGGCTGCGTCGTGGTTTGCGATTCCAATGAATCTGCATCGGACTCTGAGGCTGACGGCTTTCCGTCGAGCAGATGCCCAGCGGAGCCGGAGGCGTCTTGATGCCGGCCAGAGGTGGGAGTGACGGATCGAGGTGGGTGGGAAAAGGAAAATGCAACATGTCAAAGTCAAGGTGGGTGCGCCACTGCGGAGGAGGAGGAGGCTCGTGAAGGACGCTACTACTGCTGCTGCTGGGGCCGTGCCAGGCTAGGTGCATGGTTGAGGACACTTACTTTGGGTTTTGGGGGAGCGAGTTGGGAGGGTATTCCAATAAAACGCATCGAGTTGGCACAGTACTCAGAATGTAAATGTTGTGGATTTGCTCTCCAACACAACCGGTGTGCTGTACTAGTGCACTACACTAGTGCACTACACTATACACTAGTGCTGTACTAGTGACTAATCACACGTTCTGTTTACGTGACAACCTTTACTAATTGGCTGTGTCAGGTGGTGGCAGGTTTAACGTCACAGCATTCATATATACTCTTTGGTTCTTTCGGTAAAGTCACGTGGGTAGAAATAAAATAAAACAAATCACGACGTTTCGATCACAACACAAGCGACCTTCATCAGGTGGCACCGATACAGCAGGACAACCGCTGACATAGGAGAAAGAGCTGTGACGACAAGAGTTTATAAAGGGTTTTGGTGGGCTCAACCCAAAGGTAAGTGGACGGAGCTAGAGAAAGAAGACAGGGGAGAGGCAATGGGTGGGGGAGAGGGGAGTGGGCATAGGTGATCGGTGGAAGATAGAGAGAAGCTGTGTTAGTGAATTGAAGCGGCCATGTTAGTGATACCCTATCCCGTTAATACAAGGGCATCTAACAGGGCAACACAACTCAGAGAATCGGACGGCAACAGCACAAACGGCAGACAGGATGGAACTATGACAGAGATTTCCGACCACCCTGGTTAATAACGTCCTTCCAATGGTTGCTCAGCTTATATCATGTACAAATATTTGAAGGTAGCCCGACAGATATATAAACCCAGATATATGAACCCAAATATAAACTTCAGATATATAAACACAGATATTATTTCAACCGAGAAGATGGGTGATGCACAGGTGGTGTTCCGAATGGCTGAGAAAAAACGACAGGCCCACTCTCACTAGCTACAGCATCCCCCATCAGAGAATGAGGAGGCTTATCGCTCGGAGGTTCGGAGAGCCGTGCCCGCGATCACAAATCACTCATTAACTCTATCAAAAAAGTAATTTGCATCACCACAGCTCTCATTATCCTTAGGGGAAAGAAAGGTGATCCGATCTCCGACCCCCAGGAATATATTTTCAGAATTTTTGAGCTTTTCGGTGAGGTCGTGTAGGAGGGGAAATCCTTCAGCCTGGAAGACATCAGGGGTAAAATGGGGATGACCCTGCTGAGTGTGCCGTGCCGCAAATACTTGAAGAAGTAGTCACCGCCTGTTGAGGAATTAACTAAGGCAATCCAGAGTCTAATACCAGGAAAAGTACAGGGCAGAGATGATCTCCCACGTAAAATACTGAGAGAGGGTGGAGTTTGTGTCCAGACTTCCCCATATGAGATCGTAATAACAAGGTGTTGTACATGCAGACGTTTTGGAGTTTGAAAAAGACACGCATCAGTACTTGCAGGGCGCCCAGTGTTTTGTTTGTAGTCATTCTGCATGATTTGCTGTTCATTTTTACCTGCAAAAGGTCCATCCTCAGAGTTTTCATTCTCAAGCAGAGGCGATGCAGTCGGGTCCTGTTGATCAGAGCTACCCGGCTCCCCGTCTAGAGGTTGAACGAGAGAAGAAAACAAATCAAATTAATGTAGGCAAAATGTTTAAAAAGGGTGTGCAGCCCGGATATTGTCCGTTCACAACACCGAGGAAGTTTGGCATACTTCATTTTTACGATAAAGGAAACAATGTTTTATCTTACCAGGTAAGGCCCCACTGAGCTATGTGACCTGGCTATCACAAATGATAGCAGCTCAACAAAGTGGCTGATTACCATCATCATTAACGCGTAGATATGTATAGCAGCAGCCAAATTGTCTTCAATGCGTGACGTCGATTCGAAATGTAGAGGAGAAACACGGAGAACCAGGAGAAAAATCCACGCGACCACAAGGAGAGAGACATGCAGGCTCCAAATATAGAGCAGGCGTCAGTGTCGGGATCGAACCCATGACCTCCTGTAAATCAGGCGAGTGACCTCCTGTACACCAGGCGAGGGAGTTAACATCTCCTAGCCACTGTGGTGCCCTATAGTGGCGAACGGCGGCTGTTGTTGTTTGGTGAGAGGAGTGGGAGCCTGAGGACACGCAGCTCGGTAAGTGTTACATTTTTATAACTTCAGCATATTTTATTTTGAAATCTTAATTCGTATCTATTAGGGTTTTTTTGGCCATCAATTCAAAATGATCAAAATGTTAAGAATATGGATTTGCTGTTCACCTTGACCTGTGGATGGCCCAGCCTCATGGTGTTGTGTGTTATTCTCAAGCAGAGGCGATGCAGTCAAGTCGGGCTGATCATAGTGACCACGCTCCTTTTCTAGAAGTTGAACGAGAGAAGAAAAACAACAATCAAATGAATGCAGTAAAAATGTTAAAAAGGGGTGTGCAGCCCGAATATTGCCCATTCGCACCACCGAGGATGTTTGGCATACTTCATTTTTACTGAAACTAAACTCTTTTTTATTTTACCGGGTAAAGCTCCACTGGGCTACGTGACCTGGCTATCACAAATGACAGGGGCTTAACAAAGTAGCTGATTACCATCATCACCATCGCCTAAGTATGTATCGCAGAAGCCCAATACTCTTAAATGCGTGACGTTGATTCTAAATGTGGAGAGAAAAATCCACGCGACTACCACGTGAGACAGAGACGCTTCTGAACTATTTTTTCAGAAGCGACCTGGCCATCATAAGTAATAGCAGCTCAACCACGTGGGCTGATCCACCATCGTGGAGACATTTATAGCAGCAGCAGCCAAGTCCAGTGGTGGTCACATTCTGTCACGCTTTTACCTGCTACCGGTGAAAAAATTACTAGCGCCATCTGCGGGAACAGAAGAGCTTTGTAGATAATTAGATTTCCTCCAGTATATATCTAAATGAATAACTTGGTTCTGAACTTTATGACCTCATGCCCCCTTACTGGACCATGAGTGAATAAAGAGCTTTAAGGCTCTTGGGATTTGCTCTTCCAGAATTAAAATAAATATTCTGATTTTCAACTGTCTGACGCCGTGGACAAACTGCACAGGAGCCAATGAAGAGCTTCACGGATCTTGGGATTATCTCCTCCTCCAGTGTGTGCAGAAATAAAGATTCTAGTTTCCAGGTGCAATGCGAAAAGTAAAAATGCGTGCTACGTTACCCCATGGAAATTTCCCCCGTTTCTTCTTGTAAATGAACACAGCAGCAGCAGCAGCGACAATCAGAAGCAGCAGAACCACCGGCACCGCAATGCCCGCTCTATTGCCTCCTGTTTGAAAAGAGAAGCACGCAGGGTTGTGTGTGTGTCTGTGTGTGTTACTGTCTCTCTGTGTCTCTGTGTGTTTGTCTGTATGTGTCTGTGTGTATGTCTGTGTATTTGTCTATGTATGTTGATGATCTGGTAATTGCTGCTCACTCAGAGGAGGAGTTGGAGGCGCTGCTGCTGAACCTGAAGTGTCCCACTAAGAGGTGGGGTCTTACCATCAGCCCCACCAAAACTAAGTATGAGTATTTTGTGTGATGGAGCAGTTGTGGAAAGAGTGGAGAGTTTCCCATGTCTGAGCAGTGTGCTTATGACCAGCTGCTGTTTGCACAGCAGAGGTCTCACTCTGAATCAGTCGGGCGGCATTATCTTTTTATCGGCTGTGCAATGCTGTGTGGAAGCTACCTGGTCTGTCACTGCGCATGAAGCTTCAGGTCTTCTCGGCCACAGTCATGCCCTCCCTTCTCTATGCTTGTTAAACGTGGACCCCTCTAATGGAACATCTGCACAGGTTAGAAACATTTAGGCTGACCTGCCTGCGATCTATCTTGGGTTTAACCAGGCTGGATTGTGTGAGGAGCTCACAAAACCTCGAAAGATCTGGACAAATTCCCATCAGTGAGCTCCTCCGGCAGGCAAGGCTGCGTTGGCTGGGTCATATAACCCGCATGCTCAGCCACTGCATGCCCAAACAGCTTTTGTTCGGCCGGATAGAGGGGACTAACCGGGCGCGGCATGGGCTAGAGAAGAGATGGAGTGATGTGGTACAGGAGGACGTGGAGCTGAGTGGACTTGCCGTGACTGATACCAGACTTGTCAAGATCGGTCTCTGTGGAGGAGGCTCACGGGCAGTTGCAGGCAGTTGCCTTCCAAATAAAGGCAGAGCAGCGACGCTCACAACAACAAGCGGAGCGCCGGCCGGCTAAAATGCAGCAACTTGGCACAGTAGGGGGTACAGATGGTGCATCTGCAAGTCATCTCAGTCAGCCAACCCATGGCACCTGCTGGGTCTGTCCCGCGACCTCCTGTCAGTGAGCCTTCACGTGGACTTAAAGTGGGCCTGGCCTGGCACAGGCGCCATGATGACGTCAACACCACTTCGTGGCGAATGGCGGGTATTGGTATTGGTGTGTGCCTGTGCGTGTGTCTGTCTTTATCTGTGTGTCTGTGTGTCTCTATGTGTCTGTCTGGATCTGTGTGTGTGACTGTGTGTCTCTATGTGTTTTTCTTTGTCTGTGTGTCTCCAATTAGCGTGGTTGGCTCCGTACGGTGCCAAAAAAATCAACATACACTCGCCTAAACACTTCTGTCTGTATCTGTGTATCTGTGTGTCTCTATGCGTCTATCTGTATCTGTGTGTGTGTTTTTGTCTATGTGTCTCTATGTGTCTGTCTTTGTCTATGTTTGTGTGTCTCTATGCGTTTGTCTTTGTATGTGTCTGTATGTGTGTCTATCTCTTTTTCTCTATGTGTACTGTGATGGGAGCGGTGGTGAAGTGGTTAGTGCGCCGGGCTACAAACCCGGCGAGCCGAGTTCGATTCCCGCTCAAGGCCACCAACAGTAGTGATAGCGATTATCTGGGCCTCTCCTAGGTCGACGCAGCCTCAAATAAATACCTGGTGTGATGTGTAAACTTCACCACTGGGAAGACAAAGGCGGCCAGGCATGGTGTTAGCCACCCACCCCTTTGTGTGCCATGCCAGCCTTCATAGGTGCTGCTGCTACTCGCTAATAGCAGCACTTGCCCCTACAGTCTGTTAAGGCTACACGGGGGATCTTTGTCTTTGCGCCACTAAACTCAACTCGTCTCTGCTATCCGATCGAAAACTCCTCGATGAGCCGAAGTTGACGCTTTGTCAGGCACGCCAAATTATAAGCGTCTAAAAGGCACGCCATTAATTATTTATTATAATTACAATGTTAAAGATTAAACCTTCATTCTAATGAAAAATAAGAATAGGTTGTTACCCTTATCTGACAATAGTAAAACAGGAGGTGGTGTTAAGGTGTTTAAACTACCAAATTGATATATTTAGCGAGGCATAAAGTCTCCATTAACCACAAAATCTTGTGGCAAAACATGCAAATACGCTCTTATGATAATAATAATAACAATGAGATGCATTGTATTTGAAACTGATTGACCAACACCAGAGACAACCTTCTACATGGTCTTGTCTCTGCACCAGAAGCGCGTTAGTAGACCAGAGACCAGTGCCAAAACGTGAACAGTACAGAGACAATGCTAAGTGTCGGAGTTACGTCTGTCAGTTATAGAGAATAGATGTAGCTGCTCAAAACTAAGCTTATATACAACCAGGAAGAGGAAGAGGCGTTCCAGACTGTATACAGTGTAGTGTATAGTAGTGTATAGTGTAGTGTAGAGTAGTGTATAGTGTAGTGTGTAGAATAATGTATTGTAGTGTAGTGTATAGTTATGTTGTGTATAGTTGAGCGGTGTATAGTAGTATAGTGTATAGTCGTGTATAGTAGTACTCTTAGGTTTTTTCGGTAAAGTCACGTAAGTAAAAAATAAAATTAAAATTAATAAAAGTGTAATGCGGTTGTAAACGGCCCTTCTGAGGTGCCGTCAGGGGGGGAGGAGTTAGGTCACGGGGGGGGGGAGAGGGGTTGAGTATAGAAGGAGGGGAACCGGAAGAGCAGGGGGAGTGACTGGGAGCCAGGAACAGAGGAAGGCCACGTAGGGCGAAGCGGGGTGTGGCGAGATCGCCACGAACACGGGGGAAGCGAGGATCGGCACCGTTGGCCAGCGGTGACCGACCCGAAGCAGCAAGGAGGCTGCAGTCAGCAGCGGGGCTGCACAGAGAGAGTGGGCAGCGGGTCTGCATACAGTGACAGCCAGAGGGTCTGCACATAGGGGTAGCAGCAAGTCTGCAGGGAGGAGGTTACAGTAGATGAAGCAGAGAGTCAGAGGGGTGAGGAAGCTATAATAGCAGTGAATAGCCGGGGGCTACAAATACAGGAGTTATAACAGAGTGCCGTGTGGGTAAAGACGTGAACCTGAATAAAGACACGAAGACAGAAAGAAGTGTTCGAGTCCTTTTATTACACTGGAGTCAGAAGTGAAACGGCATGGCGAAACAACTGAGGAAGAAGAATATCCCATCTCCGGCGTCGGCTTCATCATCGGACGACGACGATCTTCCTCCTGAGGTCGGCTTCACTTCGGCGGAGGGAGAGATCCGTGAGGGCCCGGGTGTGGAGGAGGTTGCCGCTGCGTCCGACCCATCTGCGTTGAAGGACGAAGATTTAAGATGGACCCGGATGGCGGAGCAACTGGCGACCCTAAAAACCGTCATCACGGAGTTGTGTGACCTTGTCACGCCAAGGGCGGCGTTGGTAGGTGATGGTGGTGATCGGCAGGAGCCCGGGTCGTCTTCGATGGCGCCGCCATCGACCACGCGGCGTGAAGACGCCATCTTGGGCGTGGCGCACCACGGAAGGCGGGAAGCCGCCATTTTGGGGCCGCCACGAGGATCGTCCGCCATCTTGGAGACACCGCGTTGCGACGCCTTGCTGAACTTGCCGCCGGAAGAGTCGGTGACGGACGGAAGCAGGCCAAGGAGCCGCAGTCGTCACCTTACAACTGTTAAGGAGTTCTCCATCGGGGGCGATTGGAGTGCGTTCGCTTGTCGATTTTTGGCGGCGGTACGAACGGCAAGGTGGACGGACGCCGAGGCGCTGGAGGTGCTTCCGACTCTCCTTGACGATGAGTCTGTTCGTTTTTTTCGCTCTATAAAAGCTGCGAAGAAGAAAACATTGCGTGGAGTGTTCGACGAAATGGCGGACGCGTACGAGCCACCGGATGACGCCCATCGCCGCTTCGTGCAGCGGCAACGCGCACCGGAGGAGTCGCCTGTAGCGTACAGGGGCGCCGTGCTGGAACTCGCGATGGCCGCTTACCCGGAGACGGAGCCTGACCTGCTGGAACCTCTCATCTTGGGGAAGATGTTAGAGTTATCCCGGGATCTGGGCATTCCTATGCCGGCGTGCGGTCACGAGAAACTCACGTCCCGGACCGCGGCCAAGTGTTTGGACGCCCAGTTCAATCTCCGCCGCTGGAAACAAGTCACGGCGTGGACGGGCGGTCCTGTCGTCGATGGGGGGGCCGTAGGGTGGGACCCTACAAAGGCCGTGTACGTGCCGGATGCGACCGGCCCAAAGGAGCTGTCGGCCGCCTCCACTCCGTGGCCGGCTCGAAGCGAGCCGGGGCCGCGGGCTCCGCCGCCGGCGCGGCCACGTCGGGACGGGGTGCCTGCTGCGCGCCGACCCGACGTCGACTGTTTCCGCTGCGGCCGTCGGGGCCACTATGCCAGGGACTGCTGGGCCCGGGTTCCGGGGCCGCCCCAGCAGGAGGCCTCGATCGCGGACGTCCCAAAGAAAGACCCTCCGGCACAGGCAAGTCGGTGCGCACCAGACACCCGGCAAGGCCTGACACCTCACTCATCGCCGTTGTTGTGCGACGCGGATGTTCTAAAATATGGGAGGCCAGTATCTGCGCCTTGTCGCTCGATAACGCAGTGGCGTAAGTTGGCTCGGCGGGTTGTCGCGGCCGCTACAGGTTCGTCCACTGTACCGGGGTCGATCCAAGGGGTGGACGTGCGTATTTTGGTGGATTCCGGGGCGTCCGCGACCATTATTTCGGATGTCATATTCCATCTTTTGAACATCCCACCGGGGGCCGTGAGGCCGGCTTACGCTTCCTGCATCGCTGCGAACGGGGGTAGTATGGGCATCGTGGGACAGGTGGACGCTAATATTTCTATCGGGGGGGTCTCGGCCTCGGGCGTTGTGTTAATTTCGAGGTCCCTGGCGGTTCCTTGCTTGTTGGGCACGGATTTTTTGGCTAAGATGCCCATTTTAATTAGAATCAATGAAAATTGCATTGAACTGCCAGGGGGCCGCAAATTGGCGTTTTTACAGTCCACCTGGGGGCGACCGGCTCCGGTTGCCCAGGTGCAGGCGTTATCGGAAGTTTCAGTTGA